TGTACTAGGTCTGTGACTGCCATGTGATATTTAATATTTTTTAATCTTAACTTATAATAATTTATGATATAATTCAAAGTCATTAGAGGTGTAAATATCTCAGTACTTACATATGATAGTATATATGGAGATGCAAATGCCAGGTAGCATAACTTAGGTAACTCCCTTGCCGTCTGTTGCATCCACTGTCAAGCGAGATAGCTGGGACTGCTGGTGGGACGATTATAGGTGGGACTGGCCGGTCTGGCTGTTATACTTCTCATTGTTCAAGCTCCCTTGAGTGTCAGGTGGATTTTGGTAAGATGAGTTTCTGGTCCAGCCTGGCTTGATTTGTCAGCTCCTACAACTCTCCATCTAATCCAGCAGGTGCAGTGATCCCACAGAGGTGAGCCCATAATATCCTAGAGAATCTACCTCTAAGTCCAGTTCTGCTGAGTGCTCGGATCCTTCTTCATGTGCCCCAATCCCTGCTCTGACACGGAGATCTACTGTGGCCTAGCACAGCCAGGTATGCCCACTGTCACCAGACATTTATGCACCAGCAGGCAGCGGTTGTTGCTACTTCGTCCAGTAGAGGTCTCCCTCCTGGGCTGGTGCTTTGCTCTGGCTCAGATATGCCCTCTGGTTTTTCTGAGTAAACCACTTCTCCTTTCCTGTCTTCTTGCTGATAGAGTGTTCCAGTCATTGGAAGACCCCAGAAGTCTTTCTTCCCCTGTCCAACATGCCCTCAGCCACTCCCTCTCCAATATGTCCACAGGCTCCCTTCCCCGGGCAAACTGCAACCAACCTGCCTGGGGGCCAGAGTGATATGTCCCATCCTGGAGTACCCCAGCTTCTCCACTTATCCTTTTAAAAAGAAACGATAAAAATGAATAATCAAAGAAATGAATAAAAACGTATAATCTGTTGACATAGTGCTATATTTAACACAGATTTGGCGTAACCAGGCCCAGAATGCCCACCAGCTACTAGCTGCCTTTCTCTAAGCATTGTAACAGTTGCCTAAGGACCAGGCGGCCTAGGTAGTTGTGCTCCACATCTGACCCATTGACCTTGTAATGAGCCTGAGGATGTGGTGGAAGATGGCTTGCATGTCTGGGCCTCTGCCATCCATGTGCTTTAACCTGGTCTAGAATCAGCTGTTATGACCACTTAAGGAACAGCAAATCTGTCTTCATTCACTCTGTCTGTCTAACTCTTATCTCTCTTACTCTAAGAAACCTACAAACATTTAATGCAGGCAAGTTAATCCTGGTTAAAAAAAACTACTTTCAAAATCTATGTGGACTTGTGTGTCTCTGTGTGTGTGCTTCTTTTTTAGGCACACAAATTAATTTTAAAAATTGGTCACCTGGGCCCGGCGCGGTGGCGCAATGGTTAAGGTCCTTGCCTTGAACACCGGGAGCATATGGGCACCAGTTCTAATCCCGGCGGCCCCTCTTCCCATCCAGCTCCCTGCCTGTGGCCTGGGAAAGCAGTGGAGGACGGCCCAAAGCCTTGTGACCCTGCACCTGTGTGGGAGACCCGGAAGAGGCTCCTGGGCTTAGGATCGGCATAGCATCGGCCGTTGTGCTCAATTGGGGAGTGAATTATCTGACAGAAGATCTTCCTCTCTGTCTCTCCTCCTCTCTGTATATCCACCTTTCCAATAAAAATAGAATAAATCTTAAAAAAATTAAAATATAATAAAAAATATAGAAAAAATTGGTCACCTGTATTTTTAAGCTTTTAACATTATTTTATAAATAGAACTAATATGCTTTTCAAAGATTTGTTTTATATTGTAAGGTCAGATATACAGACAGGAGGAGAGACAGAGAAGATCTTCTGTCTGTTGATTCATCTCAAAGCGGCCACAGCAGCTGGAGCTGTGATTATCCAAAGCCAGGAGCCAGGATCCTCTTCCATATCTCCCACATGGGTGCAGGGTCCCAAAGATTTGGGTCATCCTCAACTGCTTTAGCAGGACAGAAGCAGGGAGCAGGATGGGAAGCAGGGCCTGCCATGGTAACAACGCATGCCCATATGGGATCCTGGTGCATTCATGGTGAAGAATTTAGCCACAAAGCTATAGCGCTGGGCCCAAGGACAGATTTCTGGTAAGGTATGGTTCTAATATGAGTAGGAAGAATACTCAAAGCTCCAATGAAGAAACAGGAATTTTCCCCAAATTTCTATCCCAGCACCAAGAAGAGCAAGATTAAAACTCATGAGTGGTGATTGCTGGGTGAAAGCCGGGTTGGGGGATCAGATGGGGTTCAGGTCACCAGGCTCAGCTTCTTGAACTACCTGCACAGTTCTTGCCAGGTCTGAGTGTGTGCGTGGGATATGGTGGTGTTTGGGTTGCCTTTTCTGGGTCCTTGGCCCAGCTGTGCGGTGGATGTCAGATCCGTGAGCTGCAGAAGCAGGGAATCCAGTGGAACCTGGGTCTCCTAGTCTGATGCCTTGCCTCACCCGCATGGTAGGTGCCTCGTGTAATGGGGTGCCAGTGGATTCGAGTCATCTGCTCTTATCCTTGGCCTGTCTGCACATCGGTGTTCGGTCCATGAGTCCTGAGGTTTGGGGATCTGGCAGGAGTCTTATGTTGCCTGCATGGTGGCTACTGGGTCTGTGATCCCTAAGGTGTGTGTTGTGGCAGGGTGTTCCAGAAGGGTTTGGATCACCTGGCCTGAGTTCTTGGCCTGCCTACATGCTGGGTGCTGGGTCTCTGGGCCCTGGGTGAGTGGGAACCATAGGGTCCAAGTCATCTGGCCTGGGTTTTTGGCCCTCCTGTGCTGTGGGTACCAGCAGTTCTATGAGTCCCGTGGGTGTTGGTGTGGTACGTCCAGAGCCAACTTGCTCGGGCTCTTGATCTGTCTGTGAGAAATGATCCTCCATAGCAGAAAAGACATATTGGATATTGGCCAAGATCCACTTGGAGGGCATGGCAGCCCACTGAGACCTGCAGTGGATATCCATACTATCCCAGGGAAAGGAAGACAGAACAAATTGGATAACTGCCCCAGCAAATTGATGCCACTATATATCTGATTAAATGAAAACTCTTGAGGTGACTATGCCAGCTAAAGGATATTGAAAGGGCTCCATCATACTTGGATTGGTGAGATTGTCAACATTTCAGAACTATAGATACCACCTGGTCAAGACCCTCAGAGTGTGTTTCACAATGGGACCTGTATTGGTACTGGGCTATGTTTCCCCAACCCTGGGTCCTGGGGTGTTTGGGAGGCTGGGTATGGCTTCTTGGCTTATATCCCCACCCCCTGGAATAGAAAGGAGAAAGAGAAAATTCCAAAACAAAAGTCGCACCCACTTTTTCCTAATACTTGTCCAGCCCCACTTATCAACAGGTTAACATACTGGTAAAATAAAATTAATTATTAAACAAATTAGGGCTATAAACAGGTGTCATGTTTTTCATAAATAAAAAAAAATCTAAGAAATCTGTCATACATTCCTGCCTCAATATGCCCTCCCTTCCTTGTTTCTTTAACTTTATCAGTAATGTAATTTCAACTATACAATCGTTGACACAAAGACAATTACAATGCAGAAAACTACTGCTTTACAGCAATATATACATATATAGGCAAGCAGTATAATTGATTAATAAAGTAATCAAACCGCCAGATGCTAGTTTCATTTTATTTTATTTTATTAGTGGTAATGTTTATGTTGTTTCTCAAGGTGGGAAGTATGGAGCATCAGGGGATAATGGGTGTGACCCTTGTTGACACATTTTATTGTTCCTCTCCCTGTAGATGGAGGAGAGGGCGATACAAGAGGAGACACCATGTCCAGCCTCCCAACTGCCATTTCGTGTCACCCCAGGGTCCCCACTGAGCATTTTCTGAGGGTTCTGTCCATTTGTGTCTGCTACTTCTGAGATGCTGCTTGCATTGCCACTCCAAGGATGAGGAAATCTTTCTGAGCTTGATTGACTGCCATAGTCCACTTCTGGGTCTCCTTTTGTCTATAAATTTGCTGTCAAGTTGCACTGGGATTGGTGATCAATTTGTTCTGCCTTCTGTGATCAGCAAACCAGTGGGTGCTGTGGCCATACCCAGTCCTGCCCAAGACAAGCTCAGCCCTCATGTACCACAGAAGGAACAGCAACCCAGAAAATGACCCTAAAAATCTGGCATTGGACCAGCCCTGCCTACAGCTGTGGTTCCTGCGTCCGCCAGCATGTGCAGTGGACTGGCCACAGTTTCATTATTGTGTATTGTGGTTTTTTTCTGGGGGTTGAATATTACGATCACATAAAAAAGTGTAAAATCTACATCTTTTAAAAATCTGGACTCATTAGAACGTGCAAGCATCTTACTAGAATCATTCTTATCTGAAAACTAAATTAACAGCTAAGAAGGAAAGCAGGGACTAGTGTCACAAAATGTTATTCCACAAGAAATCATATCATGAGAAATGTGGACATTTCAGTTCTGCACACTTCACCTCAAACAATTCCGTAGCATGTGTAATTGTTTTGCTAATTAGCATTCCCTCAACAGATATCCAGTCTACATATAAAGTTGATTACCATCCAGCAAGTGGAAGAATGAAATCTTACCTCTTTTGCAATAAATTTGGGGCAAATGGAAAAGATTGTGTCAACTGAAATAGGCCAGTTGCACAAAAGGCAGCTTCATAGAGTAGTTAAAATACCACAAAATAAAACCATAGAAAGTAAGAGTAGCATATACACTGTAAAAAATACACATGGAATTAAATGTTGTTTAGCTCATATACCGCCTCCTCATTCAAATCATTTTCTCCATGACATTTTTGTGGCCTTTTGTATTTCTGAAACAATGTTGACATGAAATATGTGGGGGGGAAAAAGGAAAAGTCAGAAAAAAATTGTGTGCTGGCAGAGAAAAAACACAATGCATGAAATCATCATTCGTTTGCCTTACACACAGAGGAGTTCATGATCAACAAATAATAAGAAAGGCAATCAACAGACTAAGCAAGCTCTGCTTCCTCCTCTGATAAATGCATCATGGTGTCTGATTCTGAGGCTTGAGACATGAAGTCAGTGACACTGCAGAGCCCCAAAACCATGGGTTCCACAATCGTTTATGGAACAAGAGTCTTTTCAGAGCCCTCTTCATGTCTGTGTTCCTCAGGCTGTAGATGAAGGGGTTCAGCATGGGGGTGACCACTGTGTACATCACTGAGGCTGCTGCAGTTGAGGCTGAACTTGGGGCAGCACTGGCACTGAGGTACACACCTATGCTTGTGCCATAAAACAGGGAGATGGCAGAGAGGTGAGAGGCACAGGTGGAAAGGGCTTTATACTTCCCCTGAGTTGTCGAGATGGCACGGATGGAGGAGGCGATCTTAGAGTAAGAGTACAGGATCCCAGCCAGGGGACCACCTGCCAGTAGAACAGTTGCAAAATCTATTATGAGGTCATTGAGAAAGGTGTCAGAACAGGCTGTGTGGACCACCTGATTCAACTCACAGAAGAAGTGGTGGATTTCGAGGTGTGTGCAGAAGCTGAGCCTCAGCACCAGTAAGCTGTGCAACAAGGCATGCAAGACACTGATGGCCCAGCTCAACAGAACGAGCTGCACGCAGAGCCGGAGATTCATGATGACTGTGTAGTGCAGGGGGTGGCAGATGGCCACAAACCGGTCATAGGCCATCACGGCCAGCAGAAAGTCATCTAATGCTGCAAAGATTATGAAGAAGAACGTCTGTGTGATGCAGCCTGTATAGCTGATGGCTCTGCTCTGCGTCTGGATGTTTGCCAGCATCTTGGGGACGGTGGTGGAGGTGAAGCAGATGTCAGAGAAGGACAGGTTGGCGAGGAAGAAGTACATGGGCGTGTGGAGGTGTGGGTCAGAGAGGATGGCCAGGATGATGAGCAGGTTCCCAATGACACAGATCGCATACATGTAGAGGAACAGCATGAAGATGAGAGGCTGCAGTGCTGGGTCCTCTGAGAATCCCAGGAGAAGGAATTCTGAAAGCTGAGTTTGGTTGCTCACTTTCATGAGTGGTGCAGATCACTGTTGGGAAAAAGCAGTTGCAACTAAATCATATTCATAAAATACTGATGTAACCAACACAGCAGAAATCCCAACTGTATGTTTTCCCATTCAGAATTTAACTGGGTTTTGATGCTTCCAAGTTAAATCACTGACCATACGCCATCAAATGCTTCTCATAGCTAATGACATATTTTTTGACCAGTTGAGTAATATTTATTCATCAGAAGTTAAAAACTCACCATTGATTTCCCAATTGAATGCATGAAGGAAAGATCAGGGGGAGAAACGGTGCATAACTTGTGGTCCCATATATCTTAATACAAAAAATATTCAGTTCTGATTATGAAATAAACTGATCCTCACGTACATGGGACAAGTAATGACAGAAGTGCTACAATTGCGAGCAAATGACTCAATCATGTTAACCAAAAAACAATCACAAAGCATGTCAGATGATAAGAAAAACAGCGTGGGGTAGGTTGCAAATATATATAAAACTGACTTACTAAGGCTTCGTTTGTAAAACTAAATTTTTGTATTTAATATATGTGTTTGTGGAACCCAGGATGAGTTCATGACTTTGACAACAAAATACAAGCGTTCACACATCTTCTTACATTCTACTGAGGGAGGGTTCATCAGAATGTCTTAGAAAATGCAGCGAAAATCTTCACTTATTTTTGTGCATACATTTTGTAAAACACAGTTGTTTGAATTTTGGGCCTCTCATAAGTACGGATTAAGATGTATTTTTGCTTCAGACTTTTTTGGGAGCAAAACAACCTACCACGTGAATATATTTTCAATTGTACTGAAATAAACTCAAGTACGCATCAATTTAAGTCCATGTCAGAAAGAAAGCAAGCTGTTAAAGATTGCCAATCTTTGTAGGTAAGAAGACCATGAGGACAGGAATAAAAATCTCTCACCTGACAGCACACCAGGAAAGCACTGAAATTGCAGGAGAAAATGAGACTGACAGGAAAGCCTTGAGTGTATCCAACTCACAGGTGATGTAGTAACTTTCAAGTTGGTACCATTGACAGAGCTGTACTTACTGTATGATTAAGATAACGCTAAGTCATGTGAGAGCGTAATAAGAACAGACAGAAGACCCTGAGACACATGAATTTCAGCAGTTGTTACTACCAAGGATTCATTTAAACAATTCTGCTCACTTAGTTCTTTCCTGTAAGTACTGGGACAATCAGTTACAGCAACTCTTCACTGCCTGAACAGACAGGGTGTTGACTGAGTCTGCAGAGGCTGTTCCAGGGCCAGGGGTTGTTTCCTTGGCTTCTTTCATCAGTTGCATCTGTGGGTAAGAGGTCCTTGTCCCTGCAAATGTGGTACGACCTCACTCAACCACGTGCCCCCCTACAGAGAAAATCCCCTCTACTTCCTCCAGATCCCCAAATATGGCAAAATCGGCCATACGTACTCTAGGAAACTTATAACACTCATTGTCCGTTAGAATTGATCTTTCCTTGTCCTCGTTTCTTCATTAGCAATGTTTATTGTCCTAGGAAATCCAACATTTTTTTCCCCTTTGATAATTACTGACAAACGTATTCAATAGTGAAATATAGCAGTTACCACCCCAGACCTATCCCAGGTGTCAGCTGCGTTATTTCAGTTCTAGGTTAACCCCAGGAAAAGCTGTCTGTGACCCCAGTCTGGGGTCCCTTCTGCAGTGTCTACCAAGCTCACCTGCATGAGAACTGTGGAAGAGGGAAGGAGGGAAGCACTCGTTTCTGAGGGAGACTCAGACCCAAATGCAACAAGCAGGCTGCTCCTTGCCCAAGGTTGCACAGTCCGAGGGACCACAGCAGAGGAGCTCCTTACGGCTCCTGGCACCTGCTCATTAGGCAGCTCCTTGACCTCTAAGCACCTGCTGGCCCTGAGGGACTCTGGCCATGACACAGCGCCGTGTTCTTGCAGGTGTTTCCCAAGAGACCATGATGGACTCAAGTGAATCCTCCCTCTTTCTCCTGCTCTGTGGCAATCGCCAACTACCTACCATTCTTGTGTTGCTTAGTGAGACAAACCAGTTCCTATAAGACAACTATCATGTGTCACCCAGTATGTCATATTTAGCATTGAACACAAATATAATGTAGAAATGGAAAGAGAATCATGAGATTGGATCGTTGTTTCCACTCCTGGTAACTGATTTTTCTGATTTTTTACTTGTTGAATATAATGGTTAGTGGTGCACTCAGCCTGAGTGTAACAGGAAGTAGTTAATAATAATTAATTACATATTCATTACATGTATAATATAATAATAATTATATAATATATATTGTATATAATTATATATACATTATATATAATTATATAATATATATAATATAATGTATATTATATGTATAATATAATATAATGTATATTGCTATATATATTATATATTAATATATTAATATAGAGAATATAATATTATATATAATAAAATATATACTAATATACATTATATAATATATTATGTTATTATATATTATATTATATGAATATATAATATAATATGTTTTATATTATATAATATGTAATATTATATATAATATTATATAATGTTATATATTATATAATATAATATATAATTATATATTGTATAATATATATAATTATATATTATATATATAAGATATATATAAATATATATTATATATATATTATAATTATATATTGTATAATTATATATAATTATAGATAATTATAATGTTATATGTATTATATATAATACATCTTATTATATATATTATTACATATTATTATATATTAACATATATTATATATTATAATATAATCATATTATATTATAACAATATATTCTATATTATATTATTATATTATTATAATAATACTTTGTTATATATAATATATTTATATTATATATAATATAATAATATAATATAGAATATATTTATATAATATAATAATATACATTATAACATATTGCATTATACATTATTATACTCATAATTATAATAATATAGTATAATACATGTAATAAATATATTACATAATATATTTATAATAATTTATTACATATTTCAAATTAAGCAGAATTTTAGATTTATCAATTTTTATATAGGATAACACACACCACACACATATATATATAATGTATTTATTCTTTTGGAGATATCAGAGATACAGAGAGAAGGAGAGATAGAGGAAGATTTTCTGTCTGGTGATTCACTCCCCAAGTGAATGCAATGGTCAGAGCTGAGCCAATCCAAAACCAGAAGCCAGGAGCTTCTTCCAGTCTCCCACTTGGAAGCAGGATCCCAAGGCTTTGGACTCAATTACTTTCCCAGGCCTCAAGCAAGGAGCTGGATTCAAGCATGGCCACTGGGATTAGACCCTGCATCCATATGTGATTCTGGCATATGCAAAGCAAGACCTTTAGCCACTAGGCCCCAGTGTCAGGCCCACTACTTAATAGCATAATATTTAAGGAAATGCAAATGCAATTATTCTGTTTTGATTATTACATATTGCTTACACTTATCAATGCTCATATTATCTACCCTAAATAAATGAAAATGTTTTCTTTAAAAGTCTATAAAATAATTTAGTTAAAAAGGGAAAAATATGTTTGAAAAAATAAAAAATCAAAATCGTACTATTCAATGGGGCCATCTCAGACTGGGCTGTAGTACCAACTGGCACACACAAGACCAGGAACTATGAGTAGGCATGGAAGGGTAACTTTGGAGACTCCCTTGCTGGCGACTGCTTCTACTGGTGAGTGAGAGAGCTGGGATTGGGTTAGGGGCAGTTACCATCTTAATTGGCAAACACAAGAGCCTGAATGGGAGCTAGGCCACAGCCCAACTGACAAGTGCCAGGATTAGATGTGAGTCCTCTCAACCAAGATTGCATTTACCTTTGGCAGGTTCAAGTTCTGGTGCTGGGAACATGCCTGGCAAGGGAACTGTAAGCACTTGCTTGCCAAGCTGTACCTATTGGTTGGCCACAGCATCCATCAGGTCATGGGTTAACTGGTTCTAGGCAATAGTATTTTTGTTGCCTGGTGTAGGTGATGGACTGAAACTGAGCCTGCCCTGGAAAATGCACACAAGAGTCAAGTCTGAGGTCACCCCATGTGAGATTTCTGGGGACTCTCCAAGTGGATCACTGGATTCTAACCTTAGAGTGCAGGTGTTGGGACTGTGTCTCCTCTGTTGCTGATGTCTGAGTAGTGGACATCATGGAGACATGACAGCCAGCTCATCTGGGCCATCAGGGGATGTTGAGCATGTCATCAAGGGATGGCTCATCTGAGTAGCAGTGTTCTGGGGCCTATTCCAGACTGCCTGCCCTGAGACCAGCCTACCTGCGTGCTGACAGGTGCTGTAGTATTGCCCAATCTGGTCCTCACGTAACCCTGTGTCTCACATTCACTAAGGTAAGTTGCAATCCAGCAAGGGAGTGTGAAGATTTCCCCTTCTGGTCATGTTCTGAGCCACAGGACTCATGTGTTTTGGCAGGAGTTCAACACAATAATAATAGCTTCTTGATGCACAGCAAAAAAAGACTCAAGTGGTGATATCCTTGCAGAAATGAGAAACGTTCTGAATACAAGAAGAACAAATACAATAAGAAAAGATGAGCAAAGAGAATAAACCAGCAATTCCCCAAAGGCAGCAGCCAAAGAACAGCAACATTTGTCTTGGAACTTGTTGTGTCAACCACAGTTATTTTCCCAATAGTGCATACTATTTGAGCAGTTGGTCTCTATGTGATCTGGCTGCTGCTGAGGGAAGGCCTGCATTGCCCTTTTCAGGCACGTCCTATTTGCTGTTCTGTTATTTTGAGGTTTTGTCTCTCGTCTCATAAATCCGCTGAGCACTCTCAGGTCCTACTTCTGGCCTTTGCCTAACACACACAGTCTCTTCTGCACACATTCATTGCAAAAATAACTTTTGATTTTACAGGAAATAAACATTCTCCTTCGGATGTGTCCCTTGAGACATCATGTTTCAACCATTTCTTCT